ACCCAGAAAGTAATTTTCAGTCTGGATTTATAGGACTAAGTTTCAGGTCACCCCAAAAGGTGTCATGAACTCAAATGCCTATCGAGGCCAGGCAAGTGAATGAGTTGCACCATTTAAATAATTTGCCTATAAAACACATAATATAGGTTTTCCTTTTCTACATTTTCAGATTTTTCAAGAGAATCTGGAAATTTGGTTTTTAATGAAAAGTTTTCTGATTTTTAAATGATGGCAATTAAAAATTTTAACTTGTAGTAAATCTGAGTAAAAGCCTACTTATGGAATCTAATATAGTCCATAGGATGCTGATTTCCAAATCTATGCCTTTTATCTTGTGACTAGACGCCCGGTGCATGGGATTCATGCACTGGTGTGGGGCATGGCCTGTGGGGTTTGGTCCGCTGTGGAGCGCAGCTCATCCCGGTCAGCCAAGCGGCTGTGGACCTGCCCTCTGAGCAGCTGCTCCCTGGTCCGGCATCTTCCATGGAGTCGGAGCACTCACCTCTCCAGGGGACCCGGTTGGGGCCGGGCTCAGGGATAATAGCATTGAGAGGTTAGCAGAGTAGGACTCAGTCCCGCAGCAGCCCCAAACGCGCCTCCCAGCCTTCGGGGTCAACTCTGAGTTCGCGGCAGTGCTGTGTAGCCTGTAGGTGTCCAGAGGAGGTGGCAGGGAGCAAGGAAGAAGAGGAGCTTGGGGCAAGAAGGTTCCTGCCTGTCCGCCCGGGGTTCGCAATGGGAGCAGCTGCTCAACCTGGTCAGCTGAGCAGCACTCCCACTGTGGTAGCACACTGACCACCAGGGGGCAGCTCCTGCATTGAGGTTCTGCCCCTTGGTGGTCAGTGCACATCATAGTTACTGGTCATCGTGGTCGTTCTGGTCATTCCGCCGTTTGATCACTGGGCTTTTGTTAGATAAGCTCTCCATGGTGCTTTATTAAGAACCCTTAAGACTTGCTTTAAAAGTACGTTGTAATTTTTAAAGAGGCCTCCATTCTTTATATTCTTACTAGAGGCCTGGTGCATGAATTCATGCATAGGTAGGGTCTGGCCAGCCAGCCCCAATTGGGGCTGATCAGGCCGGGCTGGCGGGGGTGGGGGTTGGCCGGCTGGCCTGCCCCAATCAGAGTGAGATGGGCCTATTAGGGGCGGGGTCAGCTGGGGGGGCGGGTCCACAGGCAGTTGGCTGCTAGCCCCACCCCCTAGTCACACTCCCAGTTGAACTCCCCCGGTTGAGGGGACACTTTGCATATCAGCCTTTTATCAGGACTAGAGGCCCGGTGCACAAAAATTTGTGCTCTCGAGGGGAGGGGGGGTCCCTCAGCCCGGCCTGTGCCTGCTCGCAGTCTGGGACCCCTCGGGAGATAACGACCTGCTGGCTTAGGCCTGCTCCCGGGTGGCAGAGGGCAGGCCCAATCCCTAGGTGCAGCCCCCGGTCGGGCTCAGAGCAGGGCTGACTGGGGATTTGGGGCGCCGCCCCCTGTCATGCACAGAGCAGGGCGGATCGGGAGGTTGCGATGCCACCCTCAGTCACGCTCAGGGTAGGGTCGATTGGGGGGTTGGGGCACCGCCCCCTGTCACACTCAAGGCAGGGTCAATGGGGAGGTTGTGGCGCCACCCCCTGTCACGCACAGAGCAGGGCCAATCAGGGGGTTGGGGTGCTCCCCCCTGTCACGCACTGAGCAGGGCCCATAAGGGGGTTGGGGAGCTCCCCCCTGTCACGCACAGAGCAGGGCCCATCAGGTGGTTGGGGAGCTCCCCCCTCTCACACACAGAGCAGGGCCGATAGGGGAGTTGGGGCACCGCCCCTGTCACACACAGAGCACGGTGGATCAGGGGGTTGGGGCGCCACCCTCTATCACCCACAGAGCAGGGCCAGTCAGGGGGTTGGGGCACCGCCACTGTCACACTCAGGGCATGGCTGATGGGGAGGGTATGGCTCTACCCCATCACACACAGAGCAGGGCCCGTGAGGGGGGGTGGGGGGGGTTGGGACGCCGCCCTCTATCACCCACAGAGCAGGGCCGATCAGGGGGTTGGGGCACCACAGCCTGTCACACACAGAGCCGCAGGGCGATCAGGGGGTTGGGGATCTCCCCCATCAGGCACAGTGCAGGGCTGATCAGGGGGTTGGGGCGCCTTCCCCTGTCCCGAACAGAGCAGGGCTGATAGGGAGGTTGTGGCCCTGCCCCCTGTCACACACAGAGCTGCAGGGCGATCAGGGGGTTTGGGTGCTGCCCCCTGTCACGCTGATCCCAGTGCTGGGAGGCCTCGTGGCTCCGCTGATCCCGGTGCTGGGAGGCATATTACCCTTTTACTATATAGGATAGAAGCCTGGTGCATGGGTGGGGGCCGGCTGGTTTGCCCTGAAGGGTCTCCTGGATCAGGGTGGGGGTCCCCACTGGGGTGCCTGGCCACCTGGGTGAGGGGATGATGGCTGTTTGCAGCTGGTCACACACCCGTCAGGGTGGGGGTCCCCACTGGGGTGCCTGGCCAGTCTGGGTGAGGGGCTGAGGGCTGTTTTCAGGCTGGCGGGTGACTGAAGCTCCCAACCGCTCCTTTTTTTCTTTTCTTTTTTTATTCTGGGCCAGCTTTAGCTCTGGCTCCAGCTCTGAGGCCTCTGCTGCTGAAAGCAGGTATCTGGTTTGTTTGGGTTCTATAATCGAAACACTGTATCAACTCCAGCTCTGAGATCCCGGCTGGCTGAAAGCAGGTTTCTGGGGTTTTGTTTAGCTTCTATATTTGGAACAATGTTTCAAACTGCAAGTTCAGAGGCCGGCAAGGCAGGCGGGGAACATTGGTTTCCTCCATCACTGAAGCAAGCAAGCCTCATGTTAGCTTCAAGCTGCCTGGCTGCCGGCCGCCATCTTGGCTGGCAGTTAATTTGCATATCTCCCTGATTAGCAAATGGGAAGGGTAGCAGATGTACAGCTAATTACCATGTTTCTCTTTTATTAGATAGGATTCTTATGTTTGGTCCAAAACATTGGATGTCAAAGTATGGGTCATATACCAAAAATGGCTGTGTAGGCTGGTCTGTAATACAACGTAGTACAGACACATGAGAGAACCTAGATTAAGCTCCCAGCCAGCATTGGTAGAAATAGGAGACAATTTTAATGAGAGTACTTTACTGTAAGAAACTCATCCATCCCTGATTGAACAGCTTAAGGAAGAAGCCATAATTGACAACCCTGTCTTCCTCTTTTGTATACTGCTCTGACAAAGGCCACAGCCTGTCTTGCATTTGGGAGGTGGGACTAAAGATAATATCTAACATCTGGTTCATTCCTCATTCCCTACAGAAAGACATCACTTTACTCTCACTAATAGCTCCTCTGCTGTAGCACAAATGGCATAGATAGCCTATAAGTATGGAATAAATCAAAGGATGCTGGATTTTGAATTTTTAGCTTCCTTTTTTGGAGCTGAACATTAGATGATGCAAATAAATTGGGTGGTAGCCATAGTCCCTATCATTCCTTCTGTTGAAGTTCATAGGCACCTACACTCTGTGCCTGAGGTTCCTCATCTGTAAATGGAGATTATAGTCATACCAGCAATATTGGATTGTTACATGGGTTAATTTATTTAAGAATTAACATGTAAAGCATTTAGAAGATTCCTTAGCATATGTTAAACACGCAGTCAGTGTTAGCTGTTGCTGCTATATATTTTGTATGTGCTAAGGTTTATTGTGCTGCTTTAGGGTTTTGACTAACAAAAGAATAAGAATAATTACCTGAAGTGATGCCAATGTCAAGGTCTAGAAAGAAAAGCAAGCACAGATTCAAAGTAAAGAGGCCTAATCCCACATCTATTCCTGTCACCTGAATGAATCTGTTAACCTCTTTGGGTTTTGGTTTCCTCATTTATAAAGTAAGAAGAGTAGATTAGATGTCTCCAGAGGTCCATTTGTAAAACTGAATGAGATGATAGAAAAGGTTTGGGGGGAAATTTGGAAGAGGTCATGCTGTAACAAAAGATGCTGAGAGGGGTTAATTTTCTACTTGAAAGAACTGAATATGCTTTCAGAATTTTCTTAGGGAAAATTAATGTTCACCATATTGTTCACAGATTTAAACCATAATGCAGTATTTTTCTTAGGCTACCAATTAAATATTGTTTGTCTCCCCCTTCCCCCCACTCCCCAGAAAGAAAATTAGAATTTTTGTTCCTGCTCAATAGCAAAGAAATGAATATTTAATCTTTTGTCTATATAAGTAGCACAAGGGAATGCCAAGGCCAGGAAGTCTGAGAAACCACACTTGTTAGCATACATGCTGTAAAATTTAATCCTGTGTTAGTAGGTCGGACAAGTGAGAACTGAAAAATGTGCTGTTTTGAATTGTGAATGACAAAGATAATATTTCAGGTCTTTGTTTACAAATCTCATTTACGTAATAGTTGTCTCTTACCTATCTTTCAAATTGATGTTTATATATAATTAAACTTTGATTTTAGTACCATATCAGATCACAGGATGAGAAAATTAGGTTGGTGCTTCGGCTGAGTTTAGGGTATATCAATTGGTTTTTGGATATATACTAATTTTTTTTTAGATCAGTGAATAGCAAGTTTAAAAGTTGGGAAGGACCTTGTAAGTAGTTTTCCCTAAATTGTACACCTCTGGTGACATCCTAATAATCTATAAAAGGGTTTAGAAAGTATGGTTTGTAACATATTTGCATACAGTTAAGGTTTATGTTCTGAGACTTGAGTATTGAGTATCTTGACTTAATTTTGGGCTATAGTTTATAAATAGTTGAAACACTTAATAACAGATGAGCCCTAACTAAGGAAGGTACTGGGATTAGTAATTTTCTGTATTTAAAAAGTGGTCAAAATAACTATAAGTATGCATGGACTATCATGACCGTATGTTGGGGTAAGAAGTTTTTAGAGCGTTGAAAGTTAGTCTCTGTAATGCTGCTAGCAAATGTAATGCTTCTAGTCATGCAATGAGAGCATTTTAAACTTTATTTCTATTTTAATATATTTCAGAGACCATCATGCAGACATCAGAGACTGGGTCGGACACAGGTTCGACAGTGACTTTACAGACATCTGTGGCTAGTCAAGCAGCAGTGCCTACACAGGTGGTACAGCAAGTACCAGTACAGCAACAGGTAAGGAGCTGCTGTTGTCAGAGCAGATGCTGTGCCTTTCATTGTGCAGACCCTTCAACATGACTGTTCAAAAATGATTTGGGTTGTCCTTTCTGGCACAGTGGGTGCTAAGATAGGCCTAGTTCAGTTCATGGGTTAATTCAGCACATGTTTCTTGAGCACTTCCTGGATATTCTAGATTCTTTTTTGCTAGACTGTAGGGATACCACAGTAAATACTCAAACTATAATTCCTATTCTGAAAGAGCCTCTTAAATCTTAAAGAGAACATTTGTTTCTGACTTGACCACCCTAAGGAGATTTTAGTCTCCTCTTCTCTCCTCACTGTTCTTTATCACAACTTCCTATTTTTTTCATATTGAAATGTCAGCAATCATGTTTTTCTGTAATTGCCTCACAGCAGTACTTAATAAAGGAGAAGATGGATGTACCTTGTAGGCAGAGATTTTGCCTTTGTGATATTTTAGAAAGTGCCTGGGTGACTGATAAATACTTTTTAATGAAAATTAAATTATCTTAAAGGTCTGGAGGTCTGATTCATTCCATTTAAAAAATTGAGAATGAATTCCACATCACATGTTTACTACAGGGCTTATTCATACTCGACACTTGGCTTGTTTTAGAAAGATACTGACAAAATAATGCTATCCATGCCAGCTAATAAATAGTTCTGCATGTGGGTTGTAAACACATTGGCCTGTCATTTCTTCTAAAGAGTGGCAAGAAAATAAGTGAGAAAGATTATGTCACAGAGTATGTTGAAATTTGAGATTTTCTCATAATTTCTTCATATCAAGGAGAATCTTTAGCAAATGTTGTTCTTACAATTATAAACAAGTAGTTAGGGAGAGGGATATCTTGTCTTAAATGATAGATAGAGGGATTCAAGGTTATATTTTTCACAAGATAGAAGTTGGTGTGGCAGGGAGAGTGCTAGAATCAAGAAGGTTCTTTGAGTCAGGATTAATAGACATCTGAAGTTTTGTTTTTAGCACACCCTCTTTCTGGTCTCTATCACACACACACACACACACACACACACACACACACTCTCACACTTACACTATTAGTTGAACTATATCTAATTGTGATCTATAAAACCAACAGTTTCATATGATTCAATCTATTAATTGTGTTTCTTACCTTTCTTATCTTTATTTTTCACCATTAAAAAATGAGTCTACCCAAAATGGTGTTTTAAAAGCCTCGGGTATTATTGATGTCATTACTAATTTCTGCATGCTGGACATTTTTCAGGAAAGGGTGCTTATGACATGTTGCCCAAAGAGCAAGTAGAGAACAATTAGTTAGGACAGTATTATATAGAATTTTAAAAAGATAACCTATGAATATTAAGCAAATGTTGAACAATTACACTCACTCTGGTTGGATTTTTGTCTCATTTGTGGAAGAAGAATGGCCGTGGAAATGTCTATTTCTTTCAGTAATGTGGTGGCCATCACATTCCTCTCCCCAGAAAGTGCCCTCTTGAGACACTGAAATGTCTGTAAGACACATACCTGCCCCTCTCTCCTTGCCTCTCTTTCCTTCCTCCCTTCCTCCCTTCCTCCCTTCCTCTCTTTCTTCTTCTTAAAAAATCTTTTTATTGAGTTTAGATATCATCAGATAATTACTACAGGTCTTATATAGTAGTTTAAGAAGTCAAATAGTTCAACAAGTTATTTAAAAAAAAATACACAAATAAACAGTCCTCAATCTCCTTCTAATCCTATGTCCCTCTCCTCAGAGGCAACTACTTTTGCCTCTTTCTACCTATTATTTTGATATTTACTTCCATGTTTTCAAAAATAGTACTTATTTTACTGTTTTTTAAAAGATATATTTTTATTGATTTCAGAGAGGAAGGGAGAGGGAGAGAGAAATAGAAACATCAATGATGGGAGAAAAATCATTGATCGGCTGGCTGCCTTTTGCATGTCGCCACTGGGGAGCAAGCCTGCAACCGGCATGTGCCCTGATAGGGAATGGAACCATGACCTCCTGGTTCATAGGTTGACACTCAACCACTGAGCCATGCCGGCCGGGCTATTTTACTTTTTTGTGTGTATTTTAGTTTAAAGCATTATCTTATCATATCCCTCTTTCTGGCCCCTAACACACACACACACACACACACACATTTTCCATCCTTTAAGCTCCCAGTATACTAGGTTAACTATATGCATTTTTAATCTATAAAAACAACAGTTTCATATGTTTCAACCTAATAGTATATTTTAATTTTGGTAGACCATTACTCAATACTTATATTTCCATTGTATATATGAATGCTATATAAATCTAGCCATATAGTGAGCTGCGTTTATCTTCCTTTCCTACTTGCTGGATTTAATGATCAGGTGTTTTCTTAAAGAAGTCTCTCAGAGCATTTTGACTTGCTCCAGTCTGGATTCAGTGCCTGTTGCTCAGCTGGGATCTCCTTTGCCATATCCTGGTATTTTCTTAGGTTGGCTTTCCTGTTCCCTGGCTCTGTGTCTTAAATTCTTTCTTGATTTGCTTGAGCACAACTTTCAGTAACTTCCTATGAAATGGTAAATGTTTTGAGCTCTTATGTATCTGAGAGAGAATTTATTTATCAGTTGTTTTGTAGTTGAATGGGTACAGAGTTTTGGTTTAGAAATAATTTTTTTCAGAATTTTGAAAGGATTTCCATGGAAAAGTGAAACACTATTCTAATTCCTGATCGTTTGTGATTTATTTTTCTCTCTGAAAGTTTATGGAATGTCTTAAATCCCAGTTTCTTGATATTTATGATGTTGTGTCTTGATGTGGGTATGTTTATACATTGTTCTGGAACCTTGGCGGTCCTATTCAATCGGAACATTCATGTTCTTCAGTTCTGGCAGATTTTCTTCAATGTTTTCATTTATGATTAACTCATCACTTCTTCTAACATAGTTGTAATTTTCAAGAGCTTTTTAAAAATTTCCTGTACCTTTTCATAACATCATATTTTATTTCTTTTTAAGTTGTTGATGTTTTTTCTGTGTTATATAGTCAGATTCAAGCTACTTTTTTTTGTCTCTGTCATTCATTTTAGAAGCTTTTCTCAGATGTCTGATAATCTTTGGATGCTTATTCATATTTAAAATTTTGAGGGTAAAAGGCTGGTTTGAATGCATGATTAGGTATGGTTGACTTCAGTATACTAGTGTTATATTCTGGGCTTTTTAACTAAGGACCCTCTTATACTGGTCATATTTTTAAAAAAGACTTCTCTCGCTTCTTGCCTAGTGGATGAATGCTTGGCTCCTAGGAGCTGAGTAGGGGAAAAAAGTTGCATGTTTCTTGTACTAATTCACTTAATCCTTTTTTTTCATATGGTATCAACATCACCTCTGCTTAGTCTTCCTCAGAGATTAAATAAAAAATAAACCACACTTGTACCAAAGTTGTGGAAGTCAGTCACCTGTGCTATAGAGTTGATGAAGGGGATCAGCTTGCTTCTTAAATAAAATCACTTTTTATGTTAGATACATATATTGAAAACCAAAAACGAAATTGCTATCAGAAGAAAAAAACCAGTATCACCAGCCATAAATAAAAGATTACATATACATACACTTTGTTCATGTCCTCAGAAAAAAATATCATGTACAGGTGGACCACACTTTGGAAAACATTGTATTATGCCATGTGGCTTGTTCGAAAGGTGTATTTTTCAGTTCCTCAATTTATCTTTTTCCTTTTGGACACTCAAGGCAGGTGATACATCCCCTTATACCAAGCAAAGAGCTGAGAACTCTCATTTTCTTTTTGTCAACAGTATTTTATATAATGGATTAGTATGATATTTGTCTGGGGATGGCCATTCAGTTGTCCTTCCAGGATTATTTAGAAGCATTGCTTTCTCCTTTGTAATTTTTTTTTTCACCAGAACAGTGTTTTGTTTGAAGCTCCTTGATGCAGTCCAGTGGTCCCTGTGGTTGTAAATGGTCTGTAACTGATGAGATTAGTGCTATAGTAATTTCTTATTACCCTAACTTGTCTATAATTTTTGTTTTATTAATTTGCTAATGGCATCTTGAGTGTTTAAACTGTACTAGAATATCTTTAAAATCTTCTAGCTTTTCTCACTGACCCACAATGGATTTGAAATTATTGCATTGATGTCAAAGGTAGTTACTTCTGTTGATTAAACTTTCCATGTGTCTTTGCTGTGATCACTTTGATGTAAAGAGAGAGCCTACAGCTTACTTTTTAAAATGTTGAGATTTGTAAAGTTATATGTGTTGGAATATTGAGAAACCAGAACATTTTAAAATCATGATATATGGTTCTGTTTCTTTGTATTCTTTAAAGGTTTTTACTTTATAATAAGTACCAAATAAAATGTTGATTCTAAAATTACTCTGTGGTTCTTCATTTATTCTCCATGATCTTAAGAACCAACTTATCACCTTTTCTTAGACAATGATTCAGGAATGGAAAATTGTGAGGAAAGTTTGCATGGTCCAGTTATTTAATACTTTATCAAAATTTCTATTTTTTGCAGTTTTTCATTAATTTGTAAAACACCATAGAATTTCAGCTTCCAAATACAGGCATTGTTTCGCAATTCACTAAAAAATGTAAAAGTATTCGAGTTCAGTATCTTGATTAGAAAGTAAAATTTTGATATTACCTATCCTATTATCTTTACAAGAAGACATTTTTGCCTGATGGGCCTTTATAGACTATGACCAGAATGAGCAATTCTTCCTTCCCCCTTACCTTTCCCTTGCCTTCACTGATTTATAGGGCTTCTTATACATTATTCTTCAAACTGGTCATTTTATGTGTAAATCTGAGGGGTCTTCTGATCCTGCTTATCCTAGAACTGAACCAGAAAATGGAAATGCCTTCTTTTAAAAAAAAAAAAAAGTATATTTTTATTGATTTCAGAGAGGAAGGGAGAGGAGCAGAGAGATAGAAACATCAGTGATGAGAGAGAATCATGGATCACCCGCCTACTGCATGCCCTCCACTGGAGATTGAGCC